CTGCCTGGGTACCTGCTCCTGCTCTGGCTGTGGCACTGGTGCTGCTGCTGGAGGGGCTGGATCCCCAAATAACAAGTCTAAAGGCATCTGGTCTGCCAATAGCTTGTCCACATCTTTCCGCAGCTCTTTCACAGACTCTTTTGAAGCCCGTGACCTCCGCATCTTTCTGTGCTCCTTGGCAAGCTCCTTCAGAGCCTTGCCATGTGACTCCACTGCTGCAGATAGGGTAGCCTGAGTCTTTCAGAATCTTTTCCCGGTTCTCCAGGAGTTTCTTCAAAGTGTCCTCAATAGACTGAGGAATCAGAGCTGGCTGAGGTGCTGACTGAGCCTGAATAGTGGAAGACAAAGTGGAAAACTTGGATGTCGCAGCTGACATCCAGTTGTTCAGGCTAGCGAAAGTCAGGCTCAACTGATGGGTAGTGAAGGGATGACTCCTGGAATATGGCACTCCCGGGCCAGCTGAAGTACTGGGACCAGCAGAAGAAGAAGGTCCTGAAGGTAAGTCCTCAACTGTAGTGGCAGCAGGTATGGTGGAAGGCTCGGTAGTAGGATCTACCGCAACTGGCTCCTCAGACTGGCCAGTAGGGGCAGAGGAAGGTGGATTGTAGTTCTTGAATTTAGGGTTGTCCGGACCCTGTATACTGTACCAAGAATAGGGGGCCACATGCTTGGTCTTGACATCATATCTCCTCTTCTCCACCTCCAGGTCCCGGAAATACATTAATAGGGTGTTGGGAAAAGGATAATTCCTGTCATGCTCTTGCCCTACCGCAGAAATCACACGGGACATCATGTTGCCCACGTTGATACGGTACCCGGCCATAATAGATGCAACCAGAACTGCTCGAGTAAGTGGAATGGTCTGATCATGAGTGGAAGGGTCAAGCCGACTGCATACAAATGTCAACCACCCTCGAGCCTCAAAGCTGAATGTCTTCCTGAATATTTTCTTCCCTGCTTGCAACCACTCTGGCACAGTACCTGGGATTGCCAAGTACTGGGCCAACCGACGGGCGGACGTNGCTGGAAAAACTGGACAAAAATACCCTGCGGGGTCAGCGCGGACCGCGCAAACATGACCGCGGCCGCACTGGATCTTGAACTCTTGGTTTCTTCTTCTCTGATGTTGAGAACCGCGGACCGCGTGAAAATGTAGCACGGCCGCGGTGGAAGTTGGCGCGGCCGCACAAAAATGAATACGGGTTGCTTTGCTTGGAAGTGGTCAAATTTTTGGCTTTCTGAATCTCTGGTCCGCGGACCGCGTAAAAGAGTAGCGCGGCCGTGGAGCCTGACCGCGGACCGCATGAAGATGACCGCGGCCGCGTAGCCTTCCCCTTGAATCTGCCATCCTCTGAACCTCCTAGTGCGGCCGCGTTCACAGTTGTGCGGTCCGCACTAGGTCCTCTTTTCCTCAACTTGCTTAGTCTTTGACACTTGAGCAGGTTTCACTCCTTTTTGAGCTGATATTTGTCATTCGTCGCTTTGTCGATCAAACCTAAAATCAAGTACAACTTGTGAGCATTTTGGGACTATTTTATAGCAATTTTTAACCAAAGCATAGGCAAGTAGGGGCATAAAACACGTTAAGATTCTAACTTATCACTTACCAACAAGAGAAGGAAAAGAAGGCAACAAAATCAAGGGAATTCCAAACAATTTGATGATGATTGTGAGGGGTTTCAAAATGAGGGCTATGATGAACAAAATGAAGAGGTACAATATGTTAACAACTATCAAGGCAATAGAGGCAACTCTTCAAACCAACAATGGCGACCTCAAGGTAATTGGGACAATCAACAACAAGGCGGTGGTAATTGGAATAGCAACAACCAAGGCGGTAATTGGGGGAACAACAATCAAGGCAACCAAGGGCAGTGGAATGAAAATAACAACAATTGGATCAACAACGGTCAAGGCAATTGGAACAACTATGGAAACCAAGGCAATAAGGGGCAAGGCTTTCAAAGGCCCCCCATGTACCAACAACCGAACAATCCACCCCCGTTCCCTTCTCAAGGATCTAGTTCTTCGGAATGATATGGGAAGAATAGAAATGATGTTCGAACAAATGATGAAGAAGAACCAAGATTCCGATGCTCAATTGGCTTCCCATAATACCTCCATTCGGAATTTAGAGGTGCAATTAGGCCAAATCTCTCAATCGTTGAATACTCGCCCAAAGGGTGCTCTACCATGTGATACGGTAGTGAACCCTAAGGGTGGGAACAATCATATGATGGCGGTTACAACAAGAAGCGGGAGAGGCGGTGATGTGCATGCCTCGAAAGATAAGCAAGTTGTGGATGATGATGTTGAGTTGCAAGAAAATGATATTCCTTTGGTAGTTGAAGATGTGGTAGAGAATGATGTGAACAATGATGTGAGGATTGACATTGATGAGGCCGAGGTGGAAACTCAAGAGGCCGTGAACCCGTCTACGGAGCACATAATTGACATGCCGGAGCCGGTGGTGCCAAAAGCCAAGGCACCTTTGCCTAGACCAACTCCGCCTTATCCTCAAAGGCTAGCCAAGCAGAAAAGTGACAACCAATTCCGAAAGTTCATTGACATGATGAAGAGTTTATCCATCAATGTGCCTTTGGTGGAGGCTTTGGAGCAAATGCCTGGGTATGCGAAATTCATGAAAGAATTGGTTACAAAGAAGCGTTCCATGGATTGTGAAACAATAAAGATAACTCACCAAGTCAATGCGATAGTACATTCAATGGCCTCGAAATTATAGGATCCCGGTGCTTTCACTATCCCTTGCACCATTAGTAGTGCAGACTTTGCCAAAGCTTTATGTGATCTTGGGGCAAGCATCAATCTAATGCCCTTCTCAGTTTTCAAGACTCTAGGTATTGGGACCTCATAGTCCACCTCACAGTCCAAAATCACAAAGTCCGCTGGCAAGATAAATTTGTCCACCCGGACAAGAACATCATCTACTATACCCAGAGGACGCTTCATTGATCTATCTGCCATCTGTAATCTCATGGAAGTTGGCCTTGGTGGCCCAATACCTAGAGTGATGCTTGTTGAGGATACTTTAGGACAGCTGAAAATACTTGCATTTTCCTTTAAGGGGTGGATCTTATTTTGTTTGCTTGAGGAAAAGCAAAAACTTAAGTTTGGGGGAGTTGATAACTAGGGATTTTGCCATGTTTTATACTCCTTCTTGCTTATGCTTTGGTTATAAATTGCTACAAAATAGTCCCAAAAGGCTCATAAGTGTGCTTGATTGCAGGTTTGATCGACAAAGTGACGAAATGTCAAGGATCGGCTCAAAAGGGAGTGAAACCTGCTCAAGTATCAAAGCAAGGCAAACTGAAGATAAAAAGGCCTAGTGCGGCCGCATTCGACTTTGTGCGGTTCGCACTAGGTAGATTCAGAGAGTTGGCATTTACAAGCTTCAGGCAATGCGGCCGCTGTACAAGTTGTGCGGTCCGCGGAGTAGAGATTCAGAGAGTTAAAATTCCTAGATTCCAAGCCTTTGCGGTCCGCAGTCGTCTTTGTGCGGACCGCGCTAGCTGCCTCCGCGGCCGCAGTCCATTCTGCGCGGTCCGCGGAGCCCAACTTCAGAAAGCCAAAAATTTTGAAATCCAAGAGCCTTGTGCGGCCGCGGTCCATTTTGTGCGGCCCGCACTGACCCCGTAGGGGTATTTTTGTCCAATTTTTCCAGCTTAGTATAAATAGAACATTTTACCATTTTTAGGTCATCAGTTATTTCCAGACTTTGGGCTGCGCTCGTGAGACTCATTTTGTAGCCATTTTTGGCATCTTAGCTTCAATTTAACGATAGATTCTTGTACTTTAATTTAGTATTTAATTAATATGTCTTGTTCTTCATCTATTTCTTCATTTTCTCCTTCAAGCATGAGTAGTTAAACCCATTAGCTAGGGTTGTGGCTCAACCCTAGTGTGGGTAATTGATGGGTGTTGCCATCTAGGGTTAGATTGACTATGGGTGTTTGCTATTTGGGTTGATTTTATGTTTTAATCTATAAATTGGTGGTTGCAAACACTGATTTGTGCTTTGTAGATTTGACTCTTCTTGAGAAAGAGAGTCTAAGTCTCCAAAATTAACCCAACAAGGAACTGGGATGGACTCATGAGAAATGATAGTCCCAATTAACGGGTTAAACCTCGAGAGAGTAATCACCCTACTTGAACCCTAGTTGCTTGATCTAGTTTGCCTACCCATTTGGTCTCGAGAGAGTCAAGTGGGCAAAATCACTCTCTCTACCGAGAGGTGTGAGAGTGGGTAAAATTGTGCAACGGTTATAGCATAAGCCCCAATTATGTCAATCGAACCTTAGTAACATCTACCCGTCAATTAGCCACCTAGGTGATGTCACGACCCTAGTGCCCTTCTTCCCATTAGATACAACTTTAGCAATTATCTCGTAGCATAATCTAGTTTCAATTAGTAGTTTGATAATAGTAGTTTATAATTGAAAAACCCAAAAATGTTGGAAGTGACATTTAGAACAATTGCACGACTCTAGTCTAGATAGATACCCAGCTCCAATTTCTAGCTCTCTGAGGAATTCGATCCCGACCCTCATATCGGGTAAAAGCTATTGCGACCCTCTCTTCCTACTTTATAGTAGTGTGGAGTTGGCAGCGATCAATCAGCCCTCTCGAGAACGGCTTCCGGCTATTATACCGCGGTCGACCCCGTCTTTGGTCCCGTTTATTTATTACTACCAAGTCGCCATTAGACCAATACAAGCTAAACATTTCAAATGAAATTATCACACAATAAATGTGTCTTTCAGCTTTAAATAAATACGGAATACTATATGTTATGAATAGTTTAAAGTTTATAGACTTAGTGCATATGAAGAAGCCGTAGACAATTTGAGAGACACCTCAAATTTTGCATGCGATGCGAAGAACAAGACAGGTGTCTTTGTTAAAGAACTCTTGGTTTCATCACACAATAAAAGGTTAAAACCTTAGACAAAACCCCATTCTCATTACAAGAAGCTAAAAACTGCAAGTTGTTTTCACCTCTGACTACTCCATGTATGTATATGTTGCACTACTGTGTAACCACAAAACAACTCCTCAAATCACTCTTCTTCACCACGTGCTAGTGCTCACTCAGTACTACTAGCTCAGCACCATTATAACGCCTGTTCTCATGGGTTTTCATTCTTTTCTTGATTTTTGCTAGAATTCATGTCCATTTGTTACTCTCTTCCCCTCAATTCTGCATTTTGCATTGATGGGGTTCTTCCATTTCTTGAAAACACAGCTTAGTAGGAGTTTGCAGCTCAATTTGAGTGCCATTTCTAACTATGTTAATCAGCTCATTTCTTCATCAATTGTAGACTGTAAAGTTAGAATCTTGACTTCATTGGCTTCAATTCTTGGGTTTAGGAAGCTATGTTTTCTTGAGCCAGTGAAGTGTAACAAATCATTTGAAGATGGCAAACAATCATTTGAACCCTCCAAATCCAATGTTGACAAGAAACAAGAAAATGCTGTTTCTGCTTATCAAAGGGTTATTGAGAAGCCAAAACACAAGAAAACCAACAAGCAGTCTAAGGAATGGAGATGTATAGATAACTGCTGTTGGATAATTGGATACTTGTGCACAACTTGGTGGCTGCTTTTATTTCTATGCAATTTTTTGCCTGCCAATTTTCCAGGACTTAAGCTGCCTGAACCACCTGGGACTAGACTCAAAAATGAAGGCTTAATTGCTCACCACCCTGTAGTTTTGGTGCCCGGGATTGTAACTGGAGGTCTTGAGCTTTGGGAAGGTAGGCCTTGTTCTGAAGGCTTATTTCGTAAGAGACTTTGGGGTGGTAGCTTTGCTGAAATATTCAAGAGGTTTGTGTTATAGTCACAAAACTTTTTTTTTTTTGTCACATTGAAGTAATTACCTTTGTTGAAAATGTTTTGTGCAATTTTCATTAGGCCTTTATGTTGGTTGGAGCATCTATCTTTGGATAATGAAACAGGGCTTGATCCACCAGGGATTCGAGTCCGGGCAGTGACAGGATTAGTAGCAGCTGATTATTTTGCTCCTGGTTATTTTGTTTGGGCTATTCTTATTGAGAATTTGGCAAAGATTGGATATGAACAGAAGAATATGTATATGGCTTCTTATGACTGGAGACTATCCTTCCAAAATACAGAGGTATATCCTTCCAAAGATTGGATATGAACAGAAGAATATCCCCTCTCTAGAATAGCAACTGCATAAAATTAATTCCTTCATTTAAGTCTTTCAGGTTATCATAGTCATTGTAGAGCAATAAATGCCACTTTTATCATCATTTATTAGGCAAGTATTTTCTTTTCCTTTTTCCTGCAGCATTATCACGTTAAGTTTGATTTGTCCACTTGATGTAAGTACTCAACAGAATTTAGTCTATAATTCCACTACATTGTTTGCTGCAGTAGTTGTTGTAACAATAAGTACCCTTCAATTAAGCAAGTCGCGGTCGGCTATATGAATTGTCACTCCATTTACATTAGTAGTTGTAAATATTTTTAAAAAAACATATCTATGTGGAATGAACAAAATTGAGTTTCTTTCTTCCATTTAGTTGGAAAGTTCTGAGCAAATCCGACCATTTGAGGTTTCTTGAGGTGGTTGTCCTTCTTGAGGACATTGTCACTTGTCTCGAATTTAGATAGAGATCATTCTAATGTATCTGTTTATTTGGAAACAAGCAGATCAGAGACCAATCTCTGAGCAGGCTAAAGAGAAAAATTGAGCTTTTGTATGTAACAAATGGTAACAGGAAAGTGGTGGTAGTGCCTCATTCAATGGGAGTAATCTATTTTCTCCATTTCCTTAAATGGGTTGAAGCGCCTCCTCCCGTTGGAGGGGGTGGTGGCCCAAATTGGTGTGCCAAGCACATCAAAACAATCATGAATGTTAGTCCAGCGTTTCTTGGAGTTCCAAAAGCTGTGGCCAATATATTGTCTGCTGAGGGAAAAGATGTTGCCTTTATCAGGTTTGTCTTCAGAACTCAAAATTCTGCAGTGGAACTTTTCTGTCATCTATATTTATTTGGCTTTTAAATTGAAGGCATTGATGAAGCTGAAATTTGATTCTTTTCCACCGAATGATGTTCTCCGCACCTTTACTTTTGCAGAGCAGTGGCTCCTGGTCTGTTAGACTCTGAGACCTTTGGTTTCCAAACCCTTCAACATGTTATGAGGGTATTTCGAACATGGGACTCTGTCGTTTCATTGCTGCCGAAAGGAGGAGAGACAATTTGGGGCGACCTGAATAGGTCCCCAGAAGAAGAAAATGTATGTCATTCAGCAAAGATGCAATACCTGCAATCCTCTTCAAAGGAGAACAATGGAAATGATACCGGCCCTCGGAGGACTTCCGAAGTAATACGGCGTGCGAAATACGGAAGATTAGTTGCGTTTGGGAAGGCAGCATCTGAGTTACCTTCTTCACAGCTCTCCTTTATTGATTCAGAGGTAAAAGTTACGAGTGCCACCTTTCGTTTGATATTTCATTTGGACATTTCTGATCTGTCATTCACTATACTAGCTCGTATAATTGCTTTGATAGAACAATCTTGAGCACACTTGCACCATATCCCCTTTGAATGCAGCTAACAATGGAATGATAGGTTTTGCACATCGCGTACATGACGTCTTCTAAGCTTTGACTCCATTTTAGAAGCTATAATTGACCACATAACTTTGACGATCGCTGCTTGCTGTTGACATGTATTACTGGATTATGAACATAAGAAGAGAACGATTAAATTTTTTAGATTTAATTGACAGTAAACTATAACTATGCCTGAATCCCAAGCTAGTTTTGGTTGGCAATATGAATCATCACTCTCCGAATGTTTACTAGACGGTAATAATAATGAGTCTTTTGTTGCTTTTTCCATTTCAGAACTACTTGCTCTGATTCATTATATGTACGGAATAAAAAAAATTTCCTTTTGTTAGGGAACTAGGGAAAATTTCACAGAATAAGTAATGGTTTTCACTCTGCAATCCGTTTTATTGAATGTGCATGTAATGTTGAATAACAACAGGAATTCATGCATGAAAGTGCGCCCATTTCCAACACGTCATGTGAAGAGTTGTTGACAGAGTATGATGAGATTAGTCGAGAGAGCATCAAGAGAGTGGCTGAAAATGAAGCATACACAGCAAGAACTCTCATAGATCTTCTCAGATTTGTAGCACCGAAAATGATGCAGCGCACAGAGGCACACTTTTCTCATGGATTAGCAGAAAACTTAGAAGATCCCAAGTATAGTCATCACAAGTATTGGTCAAATCCACTTGAAACCATGTAAGCGCGAATAAGTATCAAATCCATTAGCATATAATTTCATTCCGTGTTCTATTGTTTCCTCCATTTCACCTGAATGCCTTTGCTTATTCCCAGTGGAATAAGTCAATCATATGCTAATGAAGATCCATTTTCAGGTTGCCAGATGCTCCAGATATGGAAATTTACTGCTCATATGGAGTGGGAATTCCCACTGAAAGATCATATGTCTACAAGATGTCACCTTCTGACAGATGCAAGAGCATTCCTCTTCAAATTGATAGCTCTGCAGACGGAAGCGATAATGGCTGCTTGAGTGGTGGAGTATACTTTGTCGATGGCGATGAGAGCGTGCCAGTCGTGAGCGCTGGCTTCATGTGCGCAAAAGGATGGCGAGGCAAGACACGTTTTAACCCCTCGGGGATTTCTACTTACGTGAGAGAATACCAGCACAAGCCACCAGCTAGTTTGCTGGAAGGGAGAGGCACAGAAAGTGGTGCCCATGTTGACATTCTGGGGAACTTCGCCTTGATCGAGGATGTTCTACGTGTTGCTGCTGGTGCCTCAGGTACAGAGTTAGGTGGTGATAGGATTTATTCGGGTATCATGGAAATGTCGGAACCCATAAATATTCGGTTATGACAGCAAAGCAATTTTTGATACATGGATGAAGAACAAAGTGAGTCAGATAAAAGGGTTTAAATAATATAGAAGATATGAGTGCAGTAACGTTGTTATTAGCTTTACGGAAACAAACGACTTAAGACAGAGCCTCAGGAAGGAATCAGGACATATGAAGTGTGTGGAATCAGTAAGGTGGGAGTCAAAAGGGTAACTATGCTAGTGACAATCAGGGTGACATTTCTGACTTTTGGAATCTCCTAGTAATATGTTCTTAGCTTCTCTGATTGTAAAATTCTTTAGGTCTGAGGTGTGTAATGATCAGAGTTTCAGTGTTGAAAGTTTTTCGCCAAATTTCTGTCTTGAATTACACTGACCAACACTTTAGTAACACCTGCTGGGGCGTCACTCGGAAAAGTTGAGCTTTTCTCTGCTGATTACAAAGGTGGAGCAGTAATTAGGAGTTTGACTATCACTTTAAACGTGAACACTGAAGAAATACTTTTATGCTTATGATGCAGACTGGACTTGTTTTGTTTTTCTACCAATCTTGTTCCAATCACAAGATTGACAAGCAAGAACTTGACTTGCTTGGATTCAAGGCGAAAACAAAAATATTGGCCCTAAAGCTTTAGCAAGATACGATGAACCTGATCAGACTGAGCAATTTGTAATTACTTGAGTACCGTACCAAAGAGTTTCTTTCACAGAACAAAACTCTTTCTTCTCAGATACCCTCTCCAAGTTCAAAATATCAAACGAGGTTTGACATATCTTTTCTTTCAGATAAGACCAGATGAAAACAAGGTTTATATTCTACGGGAAAAAGAAAAAAAAACAGTTCAAAATTCCCACTACAAACGAGAAAATTGTCTCCTCGTGCCTTTGCTCAATCTAACTGCTTGGGACAACCAAAATTCTGCAAGCCTGGCCAACAAGGTAAAGAGAATTGTATCAGTGGATCCACTGAGGATAGGAGTTTCGAACTGTTGGAAAGACAAACCAAAATTATTTTGAGTATTCACTGTCCATGATAGTATAATTAGTTCCTCATTCCACCCCACCCCCCCACCCCCCAAACCCCCCTTAAATCCTAATCTTATGGCAATCTTGGGGTTAATATCATGTCATGACAAGCAATAAATAAAATCTAAGGAAAATTTATTCGCAGAACAAAGCTTGTTCTTTCCACAGTACACCTACAAGTCCAAAATTCTGTCAGGTATAAACAAAGCAAGTGTGAGATCATTTTCTTCTCATAGAAGACTAGAGAAACAGGTTCTAAAGTCTGTGTATGATATACCAAGTAACAGAAAAGATAACAGAAGAAGAATGGTGGACCCAGACAACAAAGTTGGGTTGTGAGACAATCCACCAGTAGTGTCCTGCTCAATTTCAGCACGATCACAGATGGAACCTCGTGAATGGTGTTGACACAAAGCCATTAATCATGACAAAGTCGAGCATCTGAATGATCAACATAACAGAAAATTAGGCAAGCTGCACAGCGCTCTGGTATTCTCCTACAAGATTTGTTGAACGGAATGCCGATAACCTCCAGATGGGACCATCGTAATGAGAACTTTCAAGCTACTTAAACTGCCTGTAGCCATCAGTGATAACTCCCAAACAGTTGGCAGCCACAAACCCTAAACACCAAGCTGCAAGAAAGGTTCATCCAATTCAATCCGCACCATGAATTACGAATGAAGAAGAAAAACTTCTCAAAGTTTCTCAACACAAGCCCACACTTGTATCCCATCTAACAACATCAGTCAAAACCACATTCTCCGCGGATCCTTTCAGATGGATATCCTGATGTGAGGTGATTTATTTTGCTGTATGACCCCGAGACAGCACAGATAAATGCTGGATGAGCATGGTGTCTTCCCTCGTCATGTTAAGGCTTGTAAATAGTTGGTTCATTCATGAGCTCTCCTGCACTAGAACTGTGGGATCAGGGTATGTCATTTACAATTTTACATCGAAATGAAGATTGTCTAATAACCTAAATAATATTCTTTTCCTTTCGTGATGTAGTAACCTATCAAATGCAGAACCAGAAAGGAAAAATAATTCTGAATGTCGTAAGAAATAGATGGAGATGATAACAGAATACAATCAAGTCGCCATGTAGGAATCACCAAACAGGAATAAGAACTCTCAAGCATGTCTTAATTTCATAAATTAATATAGGGTGGTAACCTGATAAAAAGCAGAAAAGAACTTACTTGGTATATTTGTAACAGTAATGCAACATCTTATCAACATCTCCTTCATTCACATAGCATCCCTCCATAGAGAGATTTCCCTTTACTTGGTCCTCAAGGGTTCTCCATCGACTTAAAAGTTCAACAATTCCATTAAGCTACGTTTTAATTAAAGAAACCAGAGAAATTGCAACGATCAAGCAATCAATTAACTATGTCCCAATCCCAGACAAGTTGATTTCGGCTATACACATCCTCTATTCATTCCGCTCTACTAAGGCCCATTCGGTTCCAATACTATCAGAAGGTAACATCAGTTTAGAAAAAGAAACGTGGATTACCCAGTGAAGATCCAGTCGGGATCCCACTGGGCAGTGTTCTTCCTAGAAAAGTTCTTTTATCCAAAAAAGAGAGAGTTCTGAATATATATGAAGAAGGATACAGCAAAGCTTCTTGCCGTTAGTTTGGCAGATCTTTCATGGTCTTCACTGGTATTATCAACATCATAATTAAGAAGTTCATCCTCAACCACCTCAGATTTGCTTGTGAGAACTGAGACATACTGATGCAGATTTGAAGGACTCATCTCAGTTTTTTGAATTTGAATCAGTATCCTTGCAAGAATGTTCCAAACTGCACTTCGTGCTTCTATATCATCAGAAGCAAAAGGAAATACATCAAGTAGACCCTGTAAGAACAGCAGGTCTGAAATGATCCAAGTGTCATTACTGGTTCGATAAATTAGCATAAACTAAGGCCACATGAAGGAACTTAGGCGTAGCATATACTGGTATAATTATGAACTCTACCTTGTGATATCTCTAAAGCTAGATCAGCTGCATCAGTCAGAATATTTGCTGTCAAAACTGAAGCAGCAATGCAAGAGTTGACAAACTGCAGGCAATGGATACATCAGAAAATAGCCGCTGCATAAGAACTCATATATTGCAGTAAAAAAATTTCACCGCCTATCCTTTTACTTCCACATTTTTTTCTCTCAAGTTGTTTGATGGATACATAACAAGGGTAAAAAATGCAAGATTAGGAGTTAGGACCACTCAGAACTACAGAGAAATTTCCTGTATTTAATTAAAATAGAAGGTGTGCTTTCCTTGATCTTTAGCTCAATTAACCACACTGAAGGATAAAATGAGAAAGCTCTGCTAGCTGCGACATACATCAGCTTTATCTGGAAGCTTGATCAATTGAGTAAGCAGCTGGAAGAGTCCCTTGTTTGAACAAATTTCTTGTGAATATTCATCCATGACTGAAAGAGCTTCAACTGTTTGAAGAATCAAATCTAGAAAGGAGTACCTGGTGTAGTACATCAGTTGATTAGTTAACTGCAAGCATATTGGTTCAAATAGATGATAACTTAAACGAAAGCTCATGAATGACAATAACATTTTTTGGGGGTGGGGGT